TATTTTTGTGTTTGTGTAACACATTCATAAATAACATTACATGCCATGAGAGTTCAGCAGATTAACAAACTCATTTTTTTTCTCTTCCCTTCATGAACTAACACTTTGGGTTGTGGAATGTAGTCCTCAAAGTCATAAGGTAACACAAAAACAAAAACAAAACTCGTCTTGTTCTCAGTTGACCTCTCGTTTGGTAGCAGCCTTTTGGATGGGTGGATTGTGTTGATTCGGGGTGTTGACTTGCTGTAATATTCGGGAGCTGTGACCACTTCTGCCACAGTTAATGTTCCCGTATCCCTTTTCTCTTCAAGGTACTTCTTTGCTGTCCTGGCCATACTGACCATCCTGGGTGTTCTCAACGGGCTGGTTTTGCTTCCGGTCCTCTTGTCTTTCTTTGGACCCTACCCTGAGGTCAGTAACTACACTGGGCCTGATGTGCCAACCCCAGGCCACCTGATGGTGCCACTCTTGATTTAGATATTTAAGTGTATGTTCACATGTCCTGATCCTTTTCTAGTAACCATATGACAGCTCTGTAGTGTTTGGGGGTGATGTGGGCTGGTGCTTGTCTCTGTAAATGAAGACTCTGCACTCATAGTGGAAATTTGGGCTCCTACAAGAGTATAAATGCATGGCCCCCCTTTCCAGTGCATGGAAGCAGAGGGCAGCTCTTGCTCCAGCTATGGAGACAGAGGATCCAGGTTGGGGGGGCCCAAGGCAGGGCCTGAGACTTAGAGAACACCGTGTTGCACTGTGTCCGGCTGGTATGGGGCCAGTAAAACTTCAAATGTGGAATCCTCTTCAACAGGTATCTCCAGCCAATGGCCTGAACCGACTGCCCACTCCCTCCCCTGAGCCACCCCCCAGCGTTGTCCGGTTTGCTGTGCCCCCCGGTCACACGAACGCCGGGTCCGATTCTTCTGACTCGGAGTACAGTTCTCAGACAACGGTGTCAGGCATCAGCGAGGAGCTTCAGCACTATGAGGCTCAGCGTGGCCCAGGGGACTCTGCCCACCAGGTGATCGTGGAAGCCACGGAAAACCCTGTCTTCGCCCGTTCCACCGTAAGTCAGGCTGGGTGGTGGCGGGAGGGCCCTTTCCATGGCAGTGAGCAGGGTGGCCTGGGGACACCCCTGCCTGCTCCGACCAGCAGGTCACAGAAGCAGGACCCAAAGATAAAGTGTGTGCCACATCGAATTGTATGAAATTGCCAAGAGTTGGGCAAACATGTCATCTTATGGTTTGATCTTATAGATCAAAACAAGCAGAGTGGAGCCAGTGATTAAGGTGCTGGACTCCCATGTGGCCTACTGACACTTCAAGTCCCAGACCTGGCAGCTTGCATCCTCACTTTCCCTGCCCCCCTATGGTGAGCACATGTGCCCTGTAGCAAATTAAAAAATAATAATAATAATGAATAAAATTTAAAATAAATTATTATTTTTTTAAAAAAAGAACAGAGTGAATAAAATCATTCCACAAAGTGTCAGCACAGATCTTGTTCAGCTCACTGCCCACTGTATTTTTAGTTGCATATGATTTTAGAATGCTATAGGTTGAGTATCCCTTTTCCTCAGTGTTTAGGACTGGAAGGATTTTGGATTTTGGATTTTTTTTTTTTTTTAATATTCACATATACATACTGAGAGATCTTGGGGATGGGACCTTAACTATAAACATGAAGTTCATTTTGTGTTTCGTATACACCTTGCGCACATAGCCCGAAGGTAATGTTCTATGTTGTATTTTTGTGCCATAGCACTTTGACCACCCGTCCACCTGAAGGCAGGTGTGGAATTCCCCACAGGGCATCATGTTGGTGCTCAGAAAGTTTTAGATTGGGAGAGTTTCAGATTCTCGGATTAGGCGTGTGCTCAATGTGCACTTTTAAAAATTGGAGTGATATTTTTAATGTCACTATAGTTATTTTTCTTTCTCTCATTCCGATGACCTCTAATTGCCTTTGGTACAGAATGATTGTAAGAATTATTGCCTGTGACTGTCCCCTAAGCTCTTGCGGCTCCGAGGTCACGTTCTAGGTGGCCAGAAGGAGCGGAGACTCCGAGAGCCTCCCCGAGTTCTTCACCTTCAGCCAATTGGGCAGGTCATGGCGAGCCTGGGAGCCCCTTCTCAGAGGCCCTTTCCTCCCCACCGTGTTCCCCACGATGGTCTGTCCCCACCCCCAGGCCAGGAGCTGAGCATCAGAAACCCAAGGAAGGTTCTGAGGCTCATGTTGCCCCACCGAGGGCCCCCTGCCGTCCCTCCAGGAAATGGGTATTCCAGTCCCAGACCGGAGCAGCCCTTCGATGAAAGAGAGAGGGGCCAACCAAATAACCTGACTTGTCCCCCTCCGGCCCCCGTGACGCTGCTTGCTGAGCTGCAGTGTGATCTTTGTTCAGGATGAGCCTAAGAATAGGTACAAGCTGGACGACTTTGAAGTTGGTCACGGTCCTTTTGATTGATGTGGCCACTGTGTCGCGCCACGCTTTGTATGGAGACCCAGAAACCAGACTCCTCTAACAGTCGGGCAGAGCGGCGCTGCCTCATAGAACTTTCTGCGGGACTAGAAATGCTGTCTGCTCTGTGGTGTGGGGGCCACTGAGCCCACAAAACAGCGCTGGTGCCACTGAGGAACCAAATTTTGAGTTTTTGTTCATTTAAACTTAAACAGCCGCTTATGTTTCGTGGCTTCTGTACGCAACAGCGTCAGGGTACTGTCCAGCATTTGGACCAGGACCAGACATTGCGCTTTTTCAGAGAAGAGGCTTGGGGGCTGACCAGACTGAGCGAGGTGGGGGCAGCTCATGGGAGGGGAGCAGGCTGGCCGCCCCCTCCCCAGCCACAGCCCTGCATTTGCAGGCTGCGTGTGCCCTGCTGGCTGTGCTGGAGAAAGCCTGGAGGAAGGATCCAGACAAAGCCCCCCCTGCCACGTCCTGAGGTTGGTTGGTTAAGTTAGTTAGTTGTAAGAATTATTTTATCTGGGAACCAACAGTTAGCGTAATGGCTATGTCTCTGGACTCCCACGTAGTCGACCATGGTTCACCTCCCAGACCCGGTGGCTTAAAACTCACGCCAGGTGTGTGTGCGTGCGTGCCCAAGATCCTGAGAGGAGAAAGGAGGAGAAGGGATTGCGGCGTGACCATCCCCTTGGGGGGTGATTTCTCGCTTTCTTTCTCTATGTCTCTCTGTCTGGCGAGCTCACGTGCCCTATAATGAAAATCTCTCTCAAAAAAACAAAATTATTTTATTTAACTTTATTTATTTACTTATCTATTTTAATTTGACCAGAAGGGACAGAGTGAGAGAGAGGGAGAATGAGAAAGCAAGCCACCTGGTCCAGGATTCAAACCATAGTCAGCCATGTGGGAAGTCCAGCGCCCTAAACCACCATGCCACCTGCTGACCCCACCTGAGGTCTTTTTAAAGAACTGGTTTCCTGGGGTGGACTGAGTCCTTGGTTAGGGCACAAAGGAGAGAGGGTTATAGGCACAGGAGCCATGTCCACCCGGGGGAGCCCTCCCCGCCTGCCTGTTCTAACCTAACTTCACCTTTTGCAGGTGGTTCATCCTGAATCAAGGCATCACGCACCCTCGAATCCTCGACAGCAGCCCCACCTGGACTCAGGGTTTCTGCCCTCCGGGCGGCAAGGCCAACAGCCCCGCAGGGAACTCCCCAAAGAAGGCTTGCGGCCGCCTCCCTACAAACCGCGCAGAGACGCTTTCGAAATTTCTACTGAAGGGCTTTCTGGCCCTAGCAATAGTCGGGAGCGCTCAGCCCCCCGTGGGGCTCGTTCTCACAACCCTCGGAACCCAGCAGCCACTGCCACGAGCAGCTCTGTGCCTGGCTATTGCCAGCCCATCACCACTGTGACAGCTTCCGCTTCCGTGACTGTTGCCGTGCATCCTCCACCTGTCCCCGGGCCTGGACGGATCCCCCGAGGGGGACTCTGCCCAGGCTACGAGGGCTACCCTGAGACTGACCACGGGCTGTTTGAGGACCCCCACGTGCCTTTTCACGTCCGGTGCGAGAGGAGGAATTCAAAGGTGGAGATCATAGAGCTGCAGGACGTGGAGTGCGAGGAGAGGCTGCGGGGAAGCAGCTCTAACTGAGGTGTGTGGTGCTGGCAGGAGGGCTGCGTGGGCAGGCGGACGGCCAGAGGGCCTTCAGCAGGCGCCAAAGGGCCTAGAGGGACGCACAGAGATGCTCCTGCCGGTTCCAGGGGCCACTGGGGCTGGGCACATCCCAGGCTGCACTGCAGCAGGGGCAGTTTTTCCCAAGCTTTTTCATCCTTGGGGACCAGTCCAATTCCAGTTGGGTTCTTTTCCTCCCAACTATTAACCTGTGGAGGATGAGCGCAACTTAGTAAGCATTTAACAGCAATAGTGCGTGCGTGCGTGCATTAGTTACTGAAGGCCTGTACGGTAAATAAATGCAGAGCTCAGCGAACGCTCACAAAGTGAAGGCACCCTGTGCAAAGGAAGGGCTCCCCCCAGGCCTTTGTGCCCCCATCCTGACTCCCATCCTCTTGGCCTGTTTTTGTACTGTAAACAGGGATGGATACACCTGTTACTCACTTGGACTCCTTCTCTGTCTTCTTTTATAGGGTGATTAAAATCTGAAGCAAAGAGGCCAAAGATTGGAACCCCCGCCCCCACCTCTTCCCAGGACTGCTTGAAGAGAACTGCTTGGTTTGGGAAGGAGGTGTGCTGCCGTCCACCGCACAACAGCAGTTCGTTGTTACTGTAACCGTCTGTATCATTTGTAAAATAGTGCTATAAATATTTAAGAGGTGTACACATGTGTAATATACAAAGGAAGAAGCGATGTAAAGTAGTGTGATCTGGGGGTCTCCATCCCCGCCACAGAGTGGGGGCCGCCGTGGGGCCCCTCCGTGTTGTACATGGGTCTCTGCCACAACCGCGCTTAACGTAGTCTTACATTTCAGCATACGTGGCTGCTGCTTAAATGTTGTATAATTTACCTGTATAATTCTATGCAAATATTGCTTATGTAATAGGATTATTTTGTAAAGGTTCCTGTTTAAAATATTTTAAATTTGCATATCACAACCCTGTGGTAGTATGAAATGTTACTGTTAACTTTCAAACACGCTATGCGTGATAATTTTCGTTGTTGTTTAATGAGCAGATATGAAGAAAGCACATTCATCCCGGTGGCTTCTCTAGACATTGTCAGATGCGGTTCTCCCTTTTGGCTGTGCGTGTGGACACGTGTGCACGTGTGTGGTTTTCCCAATGTACTGTACTGTGATTTTTGGGGGGGTTTTTGCCTGCTTTTCCTTTTCTTTTTTTACTGTCTGACCCTTGGCGGGATCTGACCCAGTCTAGAAAGGCCAGGGTACCGCTTTGCACAGGTGGAAGGCTGACCCCAACATCCGCCTCATCTTTTTGAAATGGCCCAGGAAGAAGCCTGGCTCGCTTCGCATCCATGGTGTCTCCTACAATCCTTGGTTGCTCTGGGCACTCGGACTTGAGCTTCAGAGGAAACAGGTCCCCTCTCAAGGATCTTGGTGGTGGATGTGGGAACCCCAGGGGGCAGTGCTCAGACCTGCTCGTTTTCTGTGCTGTTTAATTAGGTTGTTGTGCCTAACGGTGAGCCTTTGCCGGGCCGGGACAATACTAAATAATTCAGTATTGTGCCCTTCTCTTGACCAGCGCAGACACGTGCACACACACACACGACACACACTCTTCCTCCACATATAAGAGTGGATTACAAATCTTTCAGAGACCATGGCCCTGCTATAGGTAGAAAAACCTATTCATCCTGGGCCCGCAGTAAGCTAAGAGGTGACATTTTGAGTCCCTACAGCTTAAGCTCTCTCTTCCTAAATTAAGTAGCTGATTGAGGCTTTCTGGATCAGTTTGAGTCTTTTGAAAAGTGAGCCTTCAGTGTGGTGCTGCAGAGTTGGGCGTGTTGCAGGCAGTGGACATCAGGAGTCTCCGTGTGTGTGTCACGGGTGCACACATCCTAACATCAGAGCCAGTCTTTCCTCCCTCACCATTATTAGTGTTCTTACCATGTGAGGTTTCCTGAAGAGCAGGAAGATGCTAAATGCACACTTGCATGCACGCATGCGTGCACACACACACATACACCACCACTAACAAATGCCTCGGGGTCCAATCACTTTTGTTAAAGGTTTGCTTTTTTACTGATTTGGTTCTCTTGCTCTGAGGATTGGCCTCACTCACCTCTTAGCCCAAGGCCAGCCAAGGTCCAGGAGGCTCCCTTTCAAATCTACATCAACACCATGTTGACAGACAAGAAGGCACAGGACAGGCCAGTACCCACATGGCTGAAGCCTGAACTGTGAGAAGTGTGCAAGTGTCAGTGCCCCTAGTCCCTCCTGTTCTATAGGAGAAACCTTCGTAGAAAGGCAGTGGGGCCCCAGTTAAGTAGCAGCAATGTAGTGACCGCAGGTCCTGAAACTTGCTGCAAGACTAAAATAAGGATTGAAAGCCACCAGTGGCTGGCAGGGGTGTGTGCATATGTCCGCAGGAGTCCCAGCCACCCCACTGCCTCATCTTGGTGCCTCTGTCAGCCTCGCTGTCTGCCTACCCAACACCCAGCTCTGCTCAGAAAATGTAAGTCCTGCGTCGAGGAGAGAGAGGATACAGAATTCTGAAGTCGGCTTCCCTCCGGCTCTTGGCATGCCTTCGCTCCTTTTCTGAGCCCAGCTCGTGTGGTGCATGAGAGCCTGTGCAGCCCCGACTTCAGCACCGCCTAGAACTTTCTCCAATAGTCACATTGGCAAGGGAGAACTCCGGGGCCACAGGCAACTAGAATTTCTCTCTCTCTCTCTCTCTCTCTCTCGATAATTTTTTTATTTTGTCTGTCTTGTTTGTTCATTTGGACGTTTTAATTTTTTTAAAAAAATCTTTGCTGATATTTATAATTTTGTATCATAAGAATGTTTTCCTACAGTATTTGTCATGCCAGTTTATAACAAAAAAAAAAAAAAAAAGATCCAGGGAATTTATTTCTATTGGAAACACTATTACAGCTATGTTTGACTTTTGACCAGAATTTTTATTTGTATAGAGTGCTTACTAATGTTAAATAGTTCAGAGTATATAACATTTACATTAAGGACTCATGGTAGGTTTAGTGTAAGAAGTTTAAAGGAAATAAATATTCAAACTGGGTCTCATTGTCTGCCAATTTAGGTGGAGATGAGTTTGTGTCATTTCAGTTACAAAGATAAAAGTATGCCATATAATTTATTTATATGAAAATTTATTTTTGTAGTGTACATAGTAGTCATCAAGTCTTTTGACAGAAGTATATTTTTAAAGAATTTATATGTGATAAAACCATAATGTCTGGAATTTTGCTGAGACATGAATGCGGCACACTTTTCATTGTAAATTACAGCAAGGGGAGGAAAATGCTTAACAGTGTTAAGAGAGTGAGAGCGAGTGGATTTTCCTACGGTTGTGACCCGTGAATTAGTTACCATTTGTGACCTAGCATGGTTCTCGTTCTAAACCTTGGGAGGTGAAAATGTACAAACTCTCTAAATATTAATGTTCAAACACTGATAGAAATTCTAACATGAATAAAAAATAATATAACTTGTTGGTTATGGCTTTGTTTAGAGAGTATTTTTTTTCCCTTGAAAAGACTACAGAAATGGTGTTTCGGGCCATCATCAACTTTGTTGTAACTTCACCCTGCTTACGCAAGAGATCAGATACTCATTTTTTTGGTTCTACTCTGTGGAGGCAGTCCTGTTTTCATTTTCTGACACCAAGAAAATTCCTAAATTTCCCTTCCAAAGGATTGCTCTGACATCTGTTAGCATACCTGTTTTTCTGATGTTATGCCTTATCATTAGAAGGGAGCAAACAGCCAGACTGAATGGTGGTTATAACCAGTGAAGATTTCTACTTCAAGACAGCGTGAGAAGTCTTCCAGAAGCTCACGGGGAATGCGTATTGTAAAAACACTGATGGACTTCTCTCTTCTTTTTCCACCAAAATGAACCCATACTTTGTTTTTCCAGGAACTTGCTGAAGTACCCTCAGTAGCTGATAAGGTTAATTAAGCCAAAAAGGGTGTTTATTGATAGGATTTCATCCTAGTCGTGGAGGAAAATTATGACCAGTAATACCATTCCCGTTTTATAGCTGTAAGCAGGCAGGGTAGAGAATAACTCGGGACTCAGATGTTGTGAGTATAGAACGAGGCCTAGAGGAATCCAAACTGCAGCCCTTGGGGCCGCCGCTCTCCATGTTCAGATTATCAGGGGGCAGCCATGCCCGCTCCCATATGTAAGTCTGATTGCCCACGTGGCACAGCAGAACTGAGTAGCTGCAGCACAGACCGAGGCACCTGCAGGGCCTAAAGTGTTTACTATCTGGCCTTAGGAAATCGGCCAGTTCTCTTGGAAAGGTCAGTTCCCTTCCAGAGACTTCCCTGAGTACGCTGGGCAGGCATATGCCCATGATCTGGTCAGGCTGTGGGGTGATCACAGCATCAAGACCCTGGGGAACCAGCAGTTAGCGTAATGGCTATGTTGCTGGACTCCCACAGAGTTGACTGTGGTTTGAGTCCCGGAGCTGGCACTTTAAACTCACACCGGGCACATGTGGGTGCGTGCCCAAGATCCTGAGAGGAGAAAGGAGGAGAAGGGATTGCGGTGTGACCATCCCCCCTGAGGGGTGATTTCTTGCTTTCTGTCTCTATGTCTCTCTCTGGTGAGCGCCCACACCCTATAGCGAAAAGCCTCCCCCCCCCCCCCAAAAAAAAAGACCCTGTCAGGGTGCTGTACTTGTACCTGCAACTGTCTTGGGGATGACCACGCCACAATCTGTTCTCCTCTCAGGATCTTGGGCACGCACCCACATGTGCCCGGTGTGAGTTTAAAGTGCCAGCTCCGGGACTCAAACCACAGTCAACTCTGTGGGAGTCCAGCAACATGACCATTACACCATCTGTTGGTTCCTCATCTTGTCTTAAATGAATAAAATGATCCATCGTCTCCAACCCAGCTTAAACCAAGTAATGTGGGTGAGTGCTCCTCAGGTGTCTTCGGGGCTTGCTAAAAAAGACGATTCTTCAATGGCCCCCCAAGCCTGCTTAATCAGTCCCTGAATGAGGCCCAGGAATCCGTCCTCTCAGTCCCTGAATGAGGCCCAGGAATCAGTCCTCTGACGAGCAGATTCTGGTGTACCAGTAGAGGCGAGCTCTAAATTCCTTCCAGCTGAATGTGGCCATGGTTCTGTAATTTGGCGCAGGCTACAAGGCCAGTGCAGATCTGGAAACAGCACAGATCCTGGCTCCTCTGTGTGGTCTTTCCACAAAAACACATGTTCCTCTGTGGGACATTTTTGAACTTTGCATTTGTGTCTGGAAGTCAAGAGGCAGGAATTCCCTTTTGAATGCCTGGCCTCAGCTATGAGGAAGGACTCTAGAGGGTGTGGGCTTCTGATCCAACAGGCAGGTGAGGGAGAGCCTTGTCGGGCCAGGATGGTTCGGCCCTGCCTGCTGAGAGGGTTTCCTTGCCATCCAGTTGACTCACCCCGGAGCCTGTGTGTCCTCGTCTGGAAAGTAAAGATGATGGATGTCCTTCGTAGACGACTGAAGGTTGAAAGCAATGGTGGTTGTGATGCGTTCTGCACCACAGGGGCTAACAAGGTTCAACTCGGTGAGAATCTGAACAACGTGGTGTAGCTCCCACCCTGAGTTCTGGTTTCATCACCTACCCTTTCAGTTCCCAGCCTCTAATGACTGCCCTTGTACAGAAACAGGTGCTAAGGGAAGATGTTACACATATTAAGCCCCTCTTTGGAGATATTTGGAGTAATAGAGTAAACTGTCCAGGAGGGACCAGTAGTTAGCATAATGGCTATGTTGCTGGGCTCCCATGTAGTTGACCATGGTTCGAGTCCCAGACCCGGTGGTTTAAACACGCTGGGCGCGTATGCGTGCATGTGCATGCCCAAGATCCCGAGAGGAGAATGGAGGAGAAGGGTTGCGGTGTGGCCATCCCGCCTGGGGGGTGATTTTTTGCTTTCTGTCTGTCTCTGTCTTTCTGGCAAGCACATGTGCCCTACAGCAAAAACATCTCCAAAAAGAAAAAAAAAAAAATGCAAACTCTGTCCAGGAATAAGATATTCAGGTAATACAAGGGATCCTCAAAAAAGTCATGGAAAATACATACTATGAAAAAAACTACATGGATTTCATTTTTGTATACATCAAAATAAACTCATATGTGAATGTCACTTTCCACACATTTTTTGAAGTCCTCTTATACAATGTCCTTTTTACTGACTACGTTTACCTGGAAGAAGAAAATAAAGTGTCTAGCAGGGTTTTACGTTTTTAACTTTTATCTTCCTACCTCCGCTGAGCGATCGGGTCCCAAGTCCTTTGGTGGTGAATTTCCTACATACTACCTTGGTTCATGGGGAATAATGTGTACTCCCTGAATCTGATTATGGAAAATACTGATTGCGTTCATTGGAATTCACATTGGGAGAGCCTTTCTTTGAGATGTACTTCATGCCACTAAAGTGACGATTCGTGACCATGCTAGTTTTATTGTTTTTCAATGACATAGAGCTGAGTAAGCACCCCACTTTAGTCACCTTAGCCTGGGGAGACATAGTTCATCAGATTTGTGTCCCAAGACCCACCATATTTATTCAGGACTTGAGTAAACATAGGGCCCCCTTTTTTTTGGCACAACAGATGTATTTAACAGCTTCAGGAAGGTTGCGTGCTGCGAAATTTCGGGCAGCAGCCACGTTGATATAAAAGCAGGTGTTTCATTTTTGTTAACTGGCAACTGACCTCCCAAAAGGAGAAGTGGAGATGGTCTATTAATCATCCCAAATGAAGATTAGCCAAGTTTTAATTACTTCTAATGAAGGCTGCACCTAATGAGAACATGCCTCGAACATGAATCTGTTTAATCATTCACATGGTGATGGGGGGCATGCTGGACGCCATTTTCTCTGTATGTTTCCTGCCGGGACATTCCAACAACTGCTGTAAGGATCTTGAAGGGATACTCTGGACTGTTAGGAACACAGTGGGCCCAAGAAAGCAGAGACCCAAGGCTCTCAGTTACAAAATGAAGTGTGAGCGTAGAGATGACTCAAATTAAACTTGGCATGGTCAAAGCATGTACTTTCTTTGTACACAGCAGGGTGTTTTCATATTATTGCTTCATGCCTACTCTGTAGGAATTCCCTCTCCTGAGGCAAAGAGAATAGGGCCCTTTAGCTGAAAGACTGTGGAGGTGGTAGAGCTAGTATGTGCCCCCAAGATGAGTCAGGCTGGAGGGCAATATCACCCAAAAGAGGCCACCACAGCCAGATCATGAGCACCATAATTCGAGCCCCTTTTATATCCCATTTTCCTGGAGAGTGTTATCTCCACTCCTCTGTTCTCCTCAGTCTGAGGGATAGGAGTGTGATGTAAGCTCCCAACAAGGCAAAAATGTAGTCAAAAAACAGCTCATAAGAAAACAAGCTCCAAAACGACCTCTGTCAGCTGCACCATCTTAGTACGCAGTGGACAGCAGCATCTGTTATGGAAATAGAGGTGGGGGATGATAACTTGTTCTATTTTTATAAAGAATCCTGTGGATGGAAGAGAAATCAATGAGCAAGTTCTGACTGGCAAGTTATTATATAATAATGAGGATTGCAGCACGAAGCCCAAGTCCAGGTGCCAAAAGAATAATCTTCGTAATTACAAAGTTCAATCAACAGTAGTAGTAGTAGGTGGGATTGTGTTGGAGCCTCTTTTGTAGCAAGGGAAGAGGCAAGATGAGGCAGGAGTGGAGAAGACAGAGGCTCTCTGCTGTGTTTTGGGAGAACAACTATTCGTCAGAGGGGCCTTGGCCAGATGTCCAAAAAGTAAGGGCAATACCTGAAGAAGACCAAAGGCCACCAAACCCAGGAAGAGGCCACTAAAGTGATGGAGGTCATGGTGAAGTGGTGGAGTGGAATAGCACCAGCAGATCTATTAAAGGCTTTGTCCTTCAGATATCCCTGGGCGGTAAGAGCAGTTGCCAGCCCGTAACACTGGCACTGTGACAGTGCCGAGATGTCAAGGCACACTGGGCCCCTCATTCACTCCTGCTTTCCTCACACAGCTCCCACCTGTGGCATCATGGAAGGTGGTCATGAATCACGGAGGAGGAAAGCTGTCTCCTAACCAGGAAATCTGGAGAAGCGATAGGACTGCCCGAGGCTACCCAACACCCTCAGCAGCCAAGGCAACGTCAGAACCTACCTCTGGCCCATTCTGGTGTTCTTGCTCTTTCGTGGCCCTCATTTCATCCTGTTTTGTTTTTAGGTCACCCAAGACCAGTTCCGTGGCTGGTGGCTGACAGAACAGCCAGCTGCACCATTCGAATCTGGGATCCTGTGGCTTGTGAGAAACACGTCAGGCGCATATGTATGCCCACAATCCCAAAAGAAGAGAGAGGTGGAGAGAGGGTTGTGTTATAACCATTCTCCATGGGGAATGCTTTCTCCTCTCCCTCTCTCTGTCTGTCTTTGGCAAGTGTACATGCCCTGTACCATCTTCCATGAGTGAGAGAGACACAGAGAGAGGGAGATAAGG